AAAGAAAAGAATGGAAAGGCTTTTTACAGTTCTTGAGTCTTAAGAATTAAAATAAAAAAAAATCACCTTTTAACTTGAAATAGCTTTAAAATTCAGGAATTAATAGGAGTTGATACTAAACATGCATCATTTGTTTAGTTTTAATCTCTTGCTTTTCTGTCATGTGTCAGCCTAAAAAGGTGTGCAGATATAATAGACTTTTTACCATCCTTGTGGTTGCTGATTCCACTTAGTGTAAATTTCAGTTTACTGTTTTAAACATTGGTAAAATCCATATTTATTAACATACAATTTAATTATTTGATTATATTATAGTTATGGCTGCTAAGCCTGTATTAGGAAGTCAACAACATTTTAAAAAATGTTGTTTCTAACCCAGTGCTACCTAAAACATTGCCTCACCCTTTTGTCCACTTCACAGTAATGTGACCTTAGAGTCTTTTGGGGAATTTCTTAAAACAACAGTGTTGTTTAAAAAAAAAAAAAAATCTCATGTGCAACATAAGAATGAATGTTATTTTTAAAATCTCTTGGTAAAGAAGTGGAATAGTTAAGATAGCTACAGTGCTATTAATTTAGACCAAGTATGCATGAAAAGTCCAAGTTTTATTGCAGTTGGTAATACTAAAAACTTTAATGAGATAGTGGGGGGGAAAAAAAATAAAATGGACTGTACAATTGTAGCTGAAATAGACTGTTCCAGGCATCTGTCTTCCCAATATTCTCTGGTTTTTGGTTGGGTTTTTTTTTTTTTCTTCTTTCCTTCTTCTTACTCTCTTGATTTTAATTTCACAGTTGAGCTGTAATACAGTAACTTGTAGCACTTAGCCTGGAATAAACTTGAGGCGGACACTGCCTTGATACCTCACTGCGGAGCCAGTGGGGACCGGGTGCTTTATAGAGACGATGCGCCCCACCCATAAGGCAAGGAACAATACAAATTTTTGCGTGATCCCTGTAGGTGTTTTAGAGGTTTGTGATGACTAGCTTACAACTTGATGCATTTTAACCTTATTAGCTAGAAGGTCAGTTGTCACATAACCTGTTTGTTTGGCATATTTGTGAATTCTTGAAATTTTTGGCAAACCTTCCCAGGAGTGGCCAAAACACAAGTGTTGAAACAGTGTTGCAGATCATTCAAAGTGGAAGCGATCCTCCTTTGCTCTCCTACTCCCTCAGGTACCACAGGCTTCAGGTTTGACTTGTGCTGAAGCTGCAACCATGGGTAACAGCCTGTGCAGTCCCAATCTATTGATAAAATTCTGTCGTTTATGTCCGAATTGTAAGAAAACTGTAGTGGTACAGTTCAGTTATACTCTTCATCGTGTTTAAACCCAGACCTCTTACACTTTAAATGTTTGCACAGACATTTAGACAGGTATTGGCTAAATATTTTGATTGGAAATTGTGAACCTATAGTTATCACTGTTTTGTTCTAGAGACTGAGAAAATAAATACTGCTAGATCTCATTTGTCGTTTTAGCTGTTTAAACTCAGTGTATTCATTTATTCAGTTTTCATTTATACTACAAATTGTTTCATTTATGGTATGAACATTTAGGTTCCTTGGCATATTTTCAGTTAATTGCCAAACATTATAAAGAATGAAATCTGCTTATGACATATGGACTGTTACAGTATTATTGTTAGTTTAAAATTTCAGTTATCATTTTAATGCTGTCCTTAGTGCATTACAAATAAAGCTGAATATTATCATTAAGAATTTCTTAAATAAAATTTGAGCTTACATGTATAACCGATGTTTTGTTGTCCACAGAGGCTGACCTAATTGTAATTATCCACTACTTACATAAATGAGGAATAAGGGTTGCTAACATGCTGCAGGAAAGGGGAGGAATATTACTTTTGAATATTATGAAAATGATCAAATGTAAGCATTCTCATTTTCAGAGGCAGAATTTCTCAATAAGTATTGGGCATAAAGATGCTCCTCAGAAGAAAAGCGTGAACAAACTATGCTAGAAACTATGCAGCCTCCAAGGAGAGAGCAAAATTATTCTCAAGCCCTCTGGAGCACTTGTCTGTTTCTTGATTTGCCAATAAAACTACCAATCTGTAAAGTATATAGTAACCTTGAAAGATCCTGGCAACAAGCTTGCACAGGGCTGGAGAGACGGCTCTTGGGCCATGAAGTCTACTCTGTAGTTGCTGAATGCTTTTCAAGTAATAAACACAAGGATTTCTTGGAAGTCCAGGAAAAAGAGAAGTTATAAGACATCAGTAAGAGCATAGGCATACCATTGACAATAAAAGATGCTCAAAGAATCAATTAGTATTTCTTCCAGTGCTCACTCTTCCTGTGCAACATGTGCATAGTACACAGAGCCTGCCAGCGGCCCAGAGGAGGTAGAGCATGATCCTTTTCCTTCATGTTGAATCATAAGACATAGATGCTTCAGCTCCAGAGGTAGTTAGGAACATCTACACTATTTTACATGCTTAAGAAGCTTCTGGTAACCATTTTGAATCATGGTTCTCAAATGGTTAGTCAGACAAGTCATGGAGCCAGGGCTGCCCTGTATCGGAAGCATGACTGCTCATTATCATATGAAGGAGGTGTCGTATGATATTTCTTAATCAAATCCGTTTATGTCTCTCTCTCTTAAAAAAGTAAGCTGTCAAAACTACTGAGAAGTTGCATTTTTTTTCTTTGTTTAGGCTGCTACCAGTGGAAGATGACTTTAACCTCAGTTGTTAGCATGGTGAAGCTGGGTTGGCCCTTGCAGTAGAGCAGTGTGTGAGGCAGGTCATTACTGGCTGTCCTTTGCCAACCTGCCGGGTAAAAATGCTTCATTCCAGCTTGTTCAGTCAGTTCATTCTTAGCTAGAAATTGCTTGCAGACAGCAGGTCACATCACAGATCCCTTCAGCTTGTGTCCTGATGGCATTGGATGATTTTTTCATTCCAGCCAAATACATATTTACATCATGTTCTACTGTTTTTAATAGTGTGTTTTGATGTTCTCTCACTTTTTGGCTAGAAGGGCACTTGTTTATTTCTGCCGGGCCTGTTTGGAGGCAGGGAGAGAGAAATCACTATCGCAGCAGTATGCATTATAATCTGGGTGTCTGTGCAGTTACTGCAAACTAAATTGTATGTGCTTGAGGTGTTCCTCTTGTTACTGAGAGGGATGGTGACCTTGTTGAGTTGACATGTTTCTCGCAAAGTTACATTCTTCAGGGTACGAAATGCTGACTCCAGCGCTAGCATTTCTTTCTTCTGTGCTTTTCCCTAAATCTGAGCATAAAATGAACGTTAGAATTCAATTGTAGTTTTTTGTTCATCCCAGTTTGCATGTTAAGTGAGAAGAAGCTTGATGCCAGAGTGACAGAGGCCTTTCTTTTGATTCAGATGAGGTTTTTTTGGCAGATGCATTTCCTCCATTGAAGGTGAAAACCGACTTCATTAGAGAGCAGCCAGTGTTTTTCATGTGTAATAAACTGGCTGCTCTAGTTGGTGACTGGTAGTTAAGGATTCTTCAGGTGTCTGTCAAGCTGTTTACTGGCTGTACTTGAGCAATGAAATTATGTCAGTTGGTGTCATATTTTAGAGCAGCTGCTATAGCTGGCCACCAGCAAATGGCCTTTTGCAATAAGATTCATCTTGCCTGATCTCCGAAATTCAACCAAAATTGTTGTGTGCATTCCCTTCATAGTTGGTGGAGAGAAAATGGTGTTTACCAACGCTTTTTTCTCACCTTGGCATAAAAATCTTAAGTCAGATAAGTTATTCTTTAGAAGTGTCTGTCTTTGTTAAGTAAAATATCTGGGGACTGCTTGCAAGGTTGTGGCAGGCGAGGAGAGGATACTCCTGCTCGTTTCTCCCAGGCTTTCCCTAGAGATTGGTACAGACTGCAGTACCTACATAAAACACTGCTTATAGAACTGCAGTGGATATTTATATAAATTAAAGGCTTACTGGTCTTCACATTCAACAGCTGATGGTCTAGACCAGTTGCCTTATATCCTGTTTGTACTTCTCAGGAGGCAGATGAGATACTTGGAGACTTAGCTGCAAAGGTGGCAGAAAACTCTGATCCTGAAAATGGCAGTCGGCTTGCAAGGCCGGTGAGGCTGAGGCGTGAAGTGGTGATTGCCCATAGGTGGTTTTGTCTACAAGTGTATTCATGAGTTGAGAGAGCACAAGAACCTGCCTCTTATACGGGACTTGATTTGAGTATGAGGTACAAAAGCAGGTAGTTCTGCCTGTATGATTAGGAATGAGTATCTTGTATATATCATCATTTTCTATTTAAAGGAGATTTTTCACAGGCAGCTAAATACTTACGCTCTGCTGGGAGCTGATAAAGGTTAGGTGTCTGTTTTTGCACTTGACTTTTATTTACTTCTATACCATTCGTCTCTTTGTCTCCCTCACTGAAATACCTTTCCCTGTTTTCCATTTTTTCTCTCAATTACAGTATTTCTGGAGAGCTTTCTTTAACCTATTTTAGTAAGTATTATAATTAACACTTGGCACTGTGTTACAAACAGGGTTTTATTTTTCTTTTAGCCGAACATGCTGTACTTCACTTCTTTGACTAGTATCATGTATCTAACATGTATCTATAGAACAGTACACTAATTATATACTACTACAGTTAGTGAGCAGAAATACTTTATTATCTTCTCCTGCATGTTGTTGGTAAATGCTTTTATCTGCTGAAGGCTTTTTGTATGCTTATTTTATCTATTCTTTATCCTTTATTGAATGTTTAGCCAAGAGGGGAAATAAACCCTGTCAAACAAACTAAAATTGCTTTATTTCTTATCTTTTTTTATCTGTAATGAGCATACAGTTTAGAAGGCTTATCTATGCAGTGTTTTGTCTAAGTGTATAATGTTTATGAAACATAGTAAGCCAATTTCTTTTGAACTGTACAAATCAATTTTAAAATAACTTGCGAGACACACACACTTAAGAGCTACAATTAATGGTTTTGAAGAAGCAGATCCTAAATGAAACACTTCCTTTTGCAGGCCCAGATCGCCTTTCTTCAAGGTGAAAGGAAAGGACAAGAAAACCTGAAGAAGGATCTGGTGCGAAGAATCAAAATGCTGGAATATGCGCTTAAGCAGGAAAGGTACGCTGCTTTAGTGATGAGTACATGATGAAGAAATTATGAAGACAAATACTTTATTTCGCCTTTGTGTTTGACAAAACCAAGAAATATTTCTCTGTATGTATTCAGATCTCAAAATGACAAATTTTATTATACTAAATAAACCTAGTAGTCTAAATGTCTGCATTATGGTAAAAACAATGGCTAACATAGTACGGCTACAAAAACATGCAAATAAAACCCATGGTTGATCAATGATGAATACTTTTCCCTTGGTAAAATTCCACCTAACTGTATAGATTATACCCCAGAATTATAGTGTATTCTCTTTTTGTTCAGTGTGCTGGCTTTGTTTAATAATCTCTGACAACTGAAATACTGAATAACTGTCTTCAGTCTAGTAATTACTAGTTTTTAATCTTGCTAAGTTTTTAGTCCTTTCAGTATGATAGACTCTACAGGAATATCTTCTGGAGGCTGTGTGAAGAGTGAAAAGAATGTTCATTTTTACCAGTTAATCAAAAGTCTGTTTCTTTGTTCATGGGCATTTCAGTAGAAGTCCCCAGTCTACTTTACCATTTTATTCTTATATATACTTTCCTGTTGTTCTAATCTTTGAGGCAAACAAATTGTTTTTTTCCTCATGTTTCCAGAAGTCTTTCTGTTCAACTGATTTATTTTAGGCCAAGTTTATTTTTAAAATTGTTTTTATTAGTAAAATCTCTTTTCAAATTCTTGACCAAAGAGTATATTTATGGTACTACTGCAAAGCAATCATTGCTTACATACCTTTTTCCTATCAGATGGCTCCTACTTCTCTTTAATAAAATAAACCCCTTTTAAATAGTTTGTATTAGTAGAAATAAGATTAGAAATATACACATATGCAAATGAGGAATAGGATATTACAGCTAGATAATTTAAAAAGGACACTAATAGTTGTACATCACTGTATTGCATTTAGATTTGCTCATCTTGTATGGGCTGCTTTAGCACATGAGAGATGCCTTGCACCATCCAGTTTGGCTCTTTCCAGTAGCAACCAATTCACCCACTAGCATGGAGCTGCAGCCAGTTCCCTGGCCAGCGGTAGCCTCAGGGCTCCAGCATACTTACTTCCCCTTTGGGGATTTCTCAGAGGAATGCTTAAGGTAGATACCCTTTTTGCCCAGGCCTTGCTATGGCACTGATCTTATATCAAATAGCACGGAAAAATATCAAGTGTATGCATAATGGAGATTGCAGTTTGTAGTTGTGGAAAGGCTTACATTTGAGGCATGATTATAAAGATTAGAGTCACTTTAAAAGAAAACAGAGGCAAGGGAGTATGTTCTTGTCCAGTTAAAGCCATCCAGAGGGACCTTGAGAGGCTTGAGAGGTGGGCCTGTGTGAACCTCAGGAAGTTCAACAAGGCCAAGTGCAAGGTCCTGCACATAGGTCGGGGCAATCCCAAGCACAAATACAGGCTGGGTGGAGAATGGATTGAGAGCAGCCCTGAGGAGAAGGACTTGCGGTGTTGGTTGATGCAGAGCTCAACATGACCCAGCAGTGTGTGCTTGCAGCCCGTCCGCATCCTGGGATGCATCAAAAGAAGCATGACCAGCAGGTTGAGGGAGGTGATTCTGCCACTCCACTCTCCTGAAACCCCACCTGGAGTACTGCATCCAGCTCTGGGGCCTCCAACATAAGAAGGACATAGACCTGTTTGTGGCCCTCCTCTGGACTTGCTCCAAGATGATCAAGTGCTGGAGCCTGGAGAAGAGAAGACTCTGGCGAGACCTTATAGCAGCCTTCACTGGAAGGGGGCCCTACAGGAGAGCTGGAGAGGGACTTTTTACAAGGGCATGTAGTGATAGGACAAGGGGTAATGGCTTTGAACTGAAAGAGGGTAGACTAAGATTAGATACGAGGAAGAAATTCTTCAGTATGAGGGTGATGAGGCACTAGAACAGGTTGCCCAGAGAAGTTGTGGATGCCCCATCCCTGGCAGTGTTCAAGGCCAGGCTGGATGGGGCTTTGAGCAACCTGGTCTAGTGGAAGTTGTCCCTCTGCCCATGGCAGGCTCATTGGAACTAGATAGTCTTTAAGGTCCCTTCCAACCCAAACCATTCCATTCTATGATTCTATTCTGTGATTCTAAAGATATGATGTAAGGTATATAAATTCAGTAAGATTTCTTGTATTTCAAAACTGAGGGAGTTATTCCTGATTACTTAGGGATATATCTCATACTTCATGTTCTTAACCCAGATAAATTAGCGATTTATCTAAAGTTATCAGACTATGCAAATACATTTCTATGTGCTATCAGAGAAGCTTTGTAAGATTAGAAAAAACAAATCAGCAATCAAACTTTCATGTGGATCGTGAAAATGTCCCCTAGTTTCACTGACAAAATCCACCTAAATTAAGACATCTAAATCCTAATGCAGCAGTCACTGTCAGGATTGGGAAAAAACACCTGGTGGTTTCTTAGCAGTTTTTACATAGGTAACTTTTATCTTTTCTTCTACTTTTTTCTGCAGTATATGGTATTAGGCTCAGTTACTCAGGTCAGTAGGCTACAGTCAGCTGATCCAATCCAGTTTGACAATTTCAGTAATGGTTTTTAAAGTAAATGTGATGCTTGTGAATGGTGTGTGCTGGAGACAGCTATTTATAAGAGTTTGTGGTTTTAAACAGCAGTATTATTTGCCAGTTTCTGAAGAAACAGTCCTGTATTTCTGCTGGAAGTGTCTCCCAGCAAGCGTTCTTGCTTGATACTTAAAAGAATGGCAACATACCGAGCTTGGAAGCACTGCTCTCTTTCCCAGCATTTTCCGAAATCAGCCATTGGCCAGGTCAGGCAATAGTCAGTTGGGATGCTGGCTGTTTCCACTGGGATCTCAGAGCTGGAAAATGAGATCCTACAAGGTAGGAGGAAAGCATTTCTGGTCAAGTTAGGGGAAGGGTGGTGCGGGTG